GCTCCGCTCTCCGCCTCCGGCCTAGGCGGGATCCTTTGCTCTGTTCTCCATCCACAAAGAGAGTTCAGCATGGCAGTCTCACCCCAACAACTCTCTTCTTTTCATTGCCAGAGTGGGAACCAGCTTTTCTCTTTTTTAAAACCATTTTCTTCAAACCACTCATACGTTTCTAATAGTCATTAATACCTTCTATTTCTGAACGGCATTTTCTCTAATAATATTGTAGTATCTTCTGCTTTCAGTTCGCAAAGTGTGTGTGCGTGTGTGTGTTACTGATGTCACATATATGCGGTACCGTGGTGATGTTACAGGGTGAATATGACAGTTATTTCTCCTTGAGGACTTTGGAGTCTACTGCAAGGACACACAGTTTTCACATACATGTTTATTATCAGGTGAAAGTATTTCACCAATATCTTTCTTGGCAGTATAGATCTACCTCATTAAAAATGGCTGCAGGACATGCATTACATTACACTGTTGTTGGGTGCCGGGAGTTGATTTTCCACTCATAGCAATCCCATATGATAGAGCAGAACTGTCCCATAGGGTTTTCTTAGCTGTAATCTTTATGAAAGCAGATCACCAGGTCTTTCTCCTGCAGAGAAGCTGGGTGGGTTCCAAATGCCAACCTTTTGGTTAGCAGCCGAGTGCTTAACTATTGAGCCACCAAAAACAAAAACAAAAAAAACCCAAAAAACCAAACCCGTTGCCGTGGAGTTGATTCCGAGTCACAGAGACCCTACAGGACAGAGCAGAACTGCCCGATAGGGTTTCCAAGGAGTAGCTGGTGAATTCAAACTGCTGACCTTTTGGTTAGCAGCCGAGCTCTTAGCCACTAAGCCACCAGGGCTCTGTTACGTGGACATGTTTATTGTGATGGACATCTAGGTGGTTTTCAATTTTTCACTTCGGTAGAGAATATAAGAATTGTCCATATCTCTGAGAATTGCTATGCGGATTTAGGGAGAGAACAAAGTGTTCAGCACAGTATTTGACACATAATAACACTCCACAAAGGGCAGTAATACTTGCTTCAACAACCCATAACAACTGTTGCCATCCAGTCAATTCTGACTCATAGTGACCCTATAGGACAGAGTAGAACTGCCCCATAGGGTTTCCAAGAAGCTGCTGGTGGATTTGAACTGCCAACCTTTTGGTTAGCAGCCGAACTCTTAAACACTGCGCCACCAGGGCTCCACACTTGCTTCAGTTGTACTTACTGTTATTTTCCTACCTACTCTGGGACAGCTGCTCTGCTCTTGCTTGTTGAGATTTGCTGTAACACCCATGTCACCCTAGATCCCATTGGCTTCCGCAAAACCAAACCTGTTGCTGTCAAGTTGATTTCAACTCATAACCATCCATTATCCCATTTTTAATCTAGTTAGTAGAAATCCAAACATTTTTTAAAAGAATTTTTCATTTGACTTACCATCTTTCTTAACTACTAACCAATGTTCTCTTCCTTCATCTCTCATAGACTATAACTATTTTCTTACCTTCCTCGCCTTTATGATGCTATAGTCTGCCTTCTAACCTGTTCTGTCTTTAGAAATGGACAATTCTCAAACTTGAATCCTTGTTCTATTCAGTCCTCTTCTATCTTTCTCTCTCACCAACCTCATTCACTCTGGTAAGCTAAATTATCACACTGAGCAGGAGATTCTATGTATGTGTTTCTAATCTTAACCTTTCTCTTGAGTTCCAGTTCCAACTGTTTAAAGGGTTTTCTGGACATTTTATCCTGGCTATTTTCAGAGTTAATAGTTCTAAAACTCAACTCTTTATCAAGTCCACCCCCACAGACCAAACAGGCTCTTACTCATGATACTTCATTTAATGGATTATTCTAGCTCAGAACCTCCTCCTCCTCTTTGACGCCTCTTCTCTCCTTCCACATCCAACTAGTCACCAAAATCCTGTTCCTTCACAAAATATCTTCCATCTTTTTATTTCCCCCATAGCAGTCTTCCTCATTGAAAAATAACAACAGCAGCAACAACAAACACTTTACATAACACTCTACACTTAGCCAGGCACTGTTCTAAGTGCCTTAACAAACCATTACCCCCATTTTACAGATGAGAAAAATGAGGCACAGAAGGCTTAAGTAACTTATCCAAGGTCATAGAGCTAGCAAACAGCAGAGCTAGAATTCAGACCCAGGTCGTCTGACTGCAGAGCCTGTCCTTGTAACCACTCATTTTTCCTGCCTCTCAAACAATGGAAAGAGGGTAGGTTTTAGAATTGAAAGGCCCATGTACAAATCCCATCTTATTGCCTCCTCTAACATGACAGCATGATCTTGGACATCTAATGGGTGCCTTAAACTTACTGTGGCCAAAACTCAACTACTGATTTCAATCCTTAAATCCATTCACCTCCAAAGCATTCCGTATCTCTGTAAAAGGCCCCACACACTATGTACTCATTTGCTCTGGACAAAACATGTACTAAGTCATCTTTGATTCTCCCTTTTTCTTCACATCCCACAACCAATAATAGCCAAAAAAAAAAAAAAAAAATAGACAATACTTACTGAGCACCAGGTAGCCATATTAAATCATTTACTTGTACTTTACTTATATTAGATTACTATATTCTCATCTACTGATGAGAAAACCAAAGCATCCAGTGCTTAGTAACTTATCCAACATTATACAGCTAGTAAGGATTCCCTTGGGCAATTTAATCAGTCTCTTAACCATTGTACTACACTGTCTGCCTCTCTACGATGCTACTAACCCATCAATCAGTCCAACTGGCTTCACCTCCAAAACATCTCAAACACATCATTTCTCTCCATCTCCACTGCTACCACCACCCACTTAAAGCCATCATGACCTTTCATTTGGTCAACTAACCGGTCTACCTGCCCATTCTTGAAGTCTCGCCTCACCCATTCACACAGTCTATCCTGTGAAGAGCAACAAGAATGCTTTTTGAAAGTGTAAATCAGATTATGTCACCACCACCACCCACACACATGCATATACACATGTACATCCTGCTTAAAACACCCCAGTGGCTTCCTATTGCATACAGAATAAGGGCCAAACTGCTTACCTACAATGCCCTATGTGCTCTATCTCCTGCCTACCTCTTGTTTCTCATGTTTCGGCCACACTGGACTTCTCTCTGCCCCTGGAACATGCCAGCAGTGTTCCCATCATACAGCCTTTGCATTTGCTGCACTTGTGTTTGGGATGTGTCTTCCTCCAGACTGTTGTATGAATGTCTTTCACAGTGCAGGTCTCATCCATCGGCCCTTCCCCATGGAGGCCTTCCCTC